TATTCAGATTGCTTTGACGACTGACTCACATTTATGACGGTCGCCACATTCCCCAGAGTCACCGCGATCCCCTCCTGATGAGCGAAGTCAAGGGGGAAGCCAGATTCACTTAATGACGGTGCTGGTTATTTTAACAGCCGCGGCGATCCGCTTGACAAATATGGCAAGGAAATGGGGCAAAGCTCACTGAACACATTTCTCACTTAACATGAATTTGGGGCTCACTTGTGGCCATAAGTTGAGGACTACCTGCATTCTGTGGTACGCAATGTTTGTGTAGCTTGCAAGGAAGCGCTCTAAAGTCTTCCCCTGGTTTTAGTTGAGCCGTTCCGACTTCTGCGGCATTTCTGTGGCTGGTTTTTAATGGATCACTTTAATCCTTCAACGTGAGTGGTGCAGTGGCCTAGAGGTGGCGTTCTCGCCTCACGATCAAGAGGCTGTGAGTTCGATCCTAGGTAGAGGCTGATATTTCTCTCTCTGGACACGAGAATATATCATCTGAACAAAACTCCGCTCTGGCGACAGGGTAGGGCATCCGGCCAGTAAACACTCGGTTCCATTCAGTTGCCCCGACTCCATCCTGCAAGGGATTATGGGGTCATTAAAAGGAGATGAATCATTCAACAAGGGTGTTTAGTGAGAGATAATATTAGGCAGTCTGTGGTTCTTGGTCATATTAGGTGATTAAAGGTTTCCACTGACATGACAAAAATGCAGTGGTGTGAGCAATTACCGTATTTTTTGGAGTATAAGATGCACCAAGGTTTTGAAGAGGCAAATTTTTTTTTAAAAAGTTTTTGCACTCTGCAGACCTCCCAAAAATAGCCCGTTTTTCACAAAAACGCCCCGTGTGTGTGTTTTTTTTAAAGGGCATGAATAGCCTTTAAGAGGCTTGTAAATTGCTCAAGGAGGGGGGGGGGGGAAACGAGCAAAAAACACCCCGTTTTTTGCTTATTTCTACCCTCCCCAGTCCCCAGGAGCACTCTGGAAGCCCCCCCTAAAGGCTCTGAATGGCCATTTTGGTGAAGGGGGCAGGGTTTCGTGAGGCCAAAAATGCTGTATTCAGTGTATAAGGCGCACCTAGATATTCAGCCTCTTTTCTGAGGGAAAAAGGTGCGTCTTATACTCCAAAAAATACAGTATTTGCCTGGCCTAAGAAAGATTTGCAAGCAGATTTGAAAGAGGGAGTCCTCTGCCAGCCGTTGAGAAATTTCCTGTGTGTTATCATATTTGGCTTGCATCAAGGCTTGCAAACCATACTTTCTTTCCTCTGCCAATCTGTGGAATTTCCTAAAAACTTGGTGTTTGAAAATTTCTCTGTGAACTGTTTTCAACTAGGGGCACAGAAGGGAGTCCTGAAAACGTGGAAATCCATCTGATTTGTCACTGAATTAGCCAAATGCTTTTTCCCAACTATATCAGATTTTTGTATCAGAGTCTTGCGATTTAGGTAAAGGTAAAGGTTCCCCTTGCACATATGTCCTAGTCGTTCCTGACTCTAGAGGGCGGTGCTCATCTCCGTTTCAAAGCCCAAGAGCCAGCGCTGTCCGACGACGTCTCCATGGTCATGTGACCGGCATGATTAAACACCGAAGGCGCACGGAACGCTGTTCCCTTCCCACCAAAGGTGGCTCCTATTTTTCTACT